CGCGCTTATTTTTCCCCCGAATCTCAGGCATCTTCTTCCTTGATTGATTTTAGTATCTGTACTCGAATTAAGTTGACGTTAACGGCGGTTTTATGTGCATCGCTAGGGATGGATATCTTTTGAGGAAATGTTCATTAGCGATTTCTCAATGCGTTCACAAAACCTGGCTGTCCCAGACTGAGCCTGCGTTATGTTTGAGCAAGAGTTTTTCTCGTTTCAGATGCCACCAAGGTCGCTAAGGTCGAGCCTGCCATCGCACAAGATTGATGATTCGGGTATGGGCCATCACTTCCTTCAGGGATAGGTTTATGACTAAATGCTGGATTTAATGACTACTTTCCAGGGAAAGACCTACAGAGGGATATGTGCATGCGTCGAGGGTCTCGAAATTCACCCGATCTGATCCCATTCACCGATTATTTCCTGATGGGAACTCATGGACATCGTGCTACCCTGCCGGATATAACTGCGATAAGTTCGTTTACTGACTACTTTGTTGTTTGGTTATTTTCTGCTTTCGACTCGTACCCTGCGAGCTGTTTCACGCGGCTATGTATATCTGGCTGTCTTATGGGTCTTTATGATGGTTCCTTGTATTCCTCGGCTACGATGTTATCAACGGGCTTCTCCCCACCCTCGACTCGTTGATTGCCTGGATTATCTGGCATTAGTTGTCAATCTTCACTATTTCAAGGCGGCTCTTTTTCTGGTCATCTTTCGTACGTCGCTCTACGCGCGTTCCTTTTTTTTGGAGTCTGGTTTTTTTCTGGCTTATTGTGTTTCCTTTAGGTAATTAGTGATGCCCCTCAGTAGTCTCTGTTCTAGTATAGGTAAAAATAGCCTTACAATGTTAGAAAAAGTACTTTAAATCTGCAAATGCTAAAGCGTGTCATGCACCATGTTGCTCTTTAAATTGGAAATCTAGAGCATGACAAAATACCAGCTGTTTGTATGTCACACATCACGTGTCACACATATCTGTCAATTATTATATTTCACTGCCACCGTTGACGAAACTGCCTAAGTAAGCCCGAACTCGTTAGCACACTCGGCCTGGCTTCGCTGCCATTGCTTTCAAGGCAACTAGGCTTTGTTTTCTTAGGATCGAATTTTTCACGAACACATTCCCGTCTTTGTGCGAGTGGTTACTGATACCTACGTTACGCCACCGCCGCCGCTTCCACCGCTGCCAGCGTAGATAAGACGATTCGGTTTTCGGAAAGGTTTACATGCATCGGTAATAGCACACCGTCATGTGTACTCGTTCACTTATCGCGACATCATCACTGTAGTCATCGTCTGTCGCTTCGTGCCGATGAAACTTCCTTCTTGTTTTTTTTGTGTAGTGATCATACCGTGAAAGCCTTTTCGTCCTGCATATCGTACCGTCGCGTACCGTCTGGCGTTGCCCGTGCAACTCCACAATTTTTGGTGTTTCGGGTGGAAAATCACGAGCCGGCGCTTTTCTCTCGGTGACCATGGAAGTGGTCGCGGTCGTCGCCGTCGTCGCGGAACCATGGCGACGCCGTTTCTCATCACCGGCTCTGATTTCTCATTCAACAGCCACTGAATCGACTTCCCGATCACCGAATGGTTCATTCGGCGGCGAATGTTTGCGTGAAGTCATTGAAAACGACTCAGATTATCTCTGTATGTAATGCTTTTCATGTTTAAAGATAGTACTTTGAACGGTGTTACAAAAATGATTTGCAGCTGAAAACACCTCCGACAGTGGCGGTCCTCCAGCTCAGGAACGTCGCCGCCTGGCGACCCAGGATTTTCTATCACCGGACGCCAACTACAACGTCCACAAGCCTGCGGATCCTTCCAGTCCAGTGGTACGTAGATTTTGCAGAGACCTTTTTGCGAAGAACGTAGTTATGTTTGAGCTAATGCATTTCAGGAACAGAAAAAAGAGCAAAAGGAGGGGGTCCGTCGAGCAGCTTCGTTCACTTTTTCACCTAAAGGAGCTGCTGATAAGACGAATCGACGAGTACATGCGCATCCGGAAGACGAGAACAAGAGGAGATTCTTGTATGTTTACACTAATCAGAGATAGTGTGTTGAGAACCAAGGCCCTTACACTTCTTGTCATTCTCTGTCTACCACGCTTTTCGTACGCTCCCATATCAGCGGGGATTCCTTTAGAATACCAGTGTAATGAGAAGCCCGTTTTTCTAGCGCATCACATAGTACTATTGCAAAGGTTCGAGGTCTCGCTCGTGTGTGTGCGCGCGAGTGTGTGGAGAGGACCAGGGGCGGGACCAACACGCATCAGAAATCGCGCTCAGAAACTCACTATGGACTGCTTACAACGGCCATTGCCAATGTGGATTCCTTGACGCTGTCGCCACCGTCATGTGCGGCTTCTGATGACCTTCGCTGTCGGCTCTATTCACTGACGTCGCCTTGAATTAGTAATGGACGTGCGACGTAAGATCAGCGTCCCATTGCCACCGAACCCGCATCGGCGTGTCCAAAAATGGTCATCGGTACGGGAATGCGACACGTGTTCGTCATCGTCAGCTAGCAGTCCGTAAGTCTTGACGAGTAATCATTAAGCACACCCATTCCCATTAAGATAGTAGCCGCAGTGCGTGGAATACTCACAGTTCATTCTCACGTACTCAATTCATCCAACAGTTTGAAATGTTGCAACTTTGTTGCAGAGCTTGTCAAAATGATTCCGCGAAGTGTCGGCGAGCAAAGAAAAAGCGACGTTGAGTTTTGTCGTTCCCATCTACCTGGTTGTGCCAGGCAGCTTGACAAGCCGGCTAATTCCTAGGTCTTCAGTCTCATAGAATGCAAATTGCACTCGCTTGTGAGTGAGGAGCAGTTGCGGCGCCACCCCTTAATTCCCTTTCATTCATTTTCGCGAACTGCAGTGACGAGGCTGGGAGGGTTTGTATGTGCAGGATTCTAGGTGGATTACGTTGGTGTACTGGAAATGAATAGGGGGTCTACAAGGATTAGTGCTGTCACAATAAGCCGTCGTGACGAAGCGTAGGTTTCAACTCGAAGGTGTTTTCAACTGCGCATAGTTCACATCAATAGGTGATTTGAACTCGATGACTAGAGTGTTAAAATGTCAACGATGCATGTTTATTGTTTTTCCTTGCTGTACTTTTCTTCATCGAATGCTTTATGTGCAGCTTTGACGTGCGAGCATCGCGATTCGGTGTTTTGCTATCGGCGCCTTTCGCTCTGCTAATTGGTCGTGGTCGTGTTCTCAATTATCGCCTCATAGGATGTTTACGTGGGCCGACGAATTGCGAAGTGTTTCCGCCCTTAACTGATGTCATGACGAAACAGCTGTGATTAGCACTGACAGTCCATGCCTTCTTAGTTTAAGTTTTTCGTTACGAAAATTCGCGCAATAGGTAACAATATGTGTAGTGCGGTCTCGAAACATTTCACGCGGTTATCGATTGGTGATCGAGCCTGCACGCGCGCTTACAGCTTGCGCGCGTATTCAAAAAAGTGCTGAAATGCCTGACATGCGATAAATAGGCTTCAGTATGATTGCTTCAAAAAGTCTTGCATTCTTGTCTGTTATATATCTCAGAGTGGCGAACACTTTGCGATTCTTGATGTAAGCTGTCCTGTCACTTTTCCCAATGGCTTTTTACTAATGCTGAGGAATGGCGGCAGCTGTATAGATTTCAAAAATAACATGGGCCAGGTGGCTGCCATTTCTTGCGATGTTCTGTTTAAGCTGTCCTGTCAGTTTTTGCTTCACATTTTTCGCTAATGTTGAGGAATGGCTGCATCTCCTCAAAATATCCTCCAGTGTTTGGACAGTTTCAAGCTGACATTACAAATTCAAGGCTTAACGTAGCTTCACAGAAAAAGTGAAGGGCATCAAGCTATGAAGTCGCGCCAGGGTAACATCGCGCTGCTAAGGGTATGATCGCGGCCGGACCTCCTAAAGGAGGTGTCGTTACGACCCCTCCCTTCTCCCCTTAACTTCATACTTCACTTCAAAGTGTGGCGTCAATAGTGGGGTTCATCCTGGTCCAACCTAAAACGCTAGAACCTAAAGTGCTTTAGCTCTGGGGATTCAAATTCCAGCAAATTTGCCGGGAGGACGGGGGATAGAGATTGGCGGTATACCCCGCTATTCAGAAAAAAATAATAAATAAATAATTATTTCATTTTACACCCACCCCCTGTCCTTATATACGATTCCCCAGACTCCCATGTGCAATTGCTGCTACTCCACCAAGGCAAATACTACTCCTGTTGAGGAATCTCGACCGTAGTTCACCCTTGTCTGCACTGGCCACGTTATTAGACATGCCTCATATGAAGAGAAAAAGACCTGAGGAAATTTCTTGTATTTCATATCGGATAGTGACCGGCTGAAATGCTGAGCCGTTCTGGCGTAAGGTGCCGTGTGTCTTGGTATTTGTCTGTTTCGCCTTTAGTAGGGTTCCTAGCCTTCATATTGCTGATTTGGTTAGGACCACTTTTCAATAAGTCCTGGTCTGGTAAACGAACCAATTTAATTATTTCGTTTATAATGCTTTTTTTGAGTGGGATTATGCTTGGATTAAACGGAGTGGTGGGCAGGTGACGACGTCACGGTAGGGAGTTGTGGTGATTGTGAGGTCAACTCGTGTGTTCCCTGGAAATTGGGGAATAACATGATTTTCAAGGTCTACGAGAAAATGGGTATTTTCTCCGAATATGTTGTATGTTTTTCTTTCATAACTTTCCATCATTACAATCACAGACCTGACTTTTACGGTTAACGGCGAGGCACAGTGTTTTGGGAACGGGCTCCCAGGTAATAGAGGAATCTGTGCGCTTGGTTCGTTCACCCAATATTCGCTATATTGAAGGCATATGTAGGGGCTGTAATTCTGGCGATGGTGTGTTGGTATCTAATCGGGGCGATTCCTGGCACCTCATGTGCCTTGGCTCTCATTTGCCAGAGGCTGACTCTCCCACCACTGATAGTAAGGGGCAGGTAGTGAGCTCTGTTATCCAGCCCTACCCAGAACTCGGTCATTGTGCGTTCAATCATCACGGTTGCAAACAACACACCGCGTTCTCTCCTTTCCCGTACACCATCGGTGTGCTACTTTCCTAGACGGTAATGTTTGAAGTATAATCTTTTCTCTCAGTTCTTATACCTTTCAATTATGAGCTCATTTTTTTACCTG